AGGCAAGTCAAAAAGGAGGCCACACGGGCACACCCACAACTCACACGGCCGTGCAAGTGACCACTTTAGCCGTGTGAGATTGTGCGAGAGCAAACACGGGCTGCCCTGATGTTCACACGGCCGTGTAAAGGAGTGGCTTGGCCGTGCGAGTTTTGCTGAGAGCAAACACGGGCATATGGAAATCTCACACGGCCGTGCGACCCTGGCCGTGTGAGAAGCCTGAAGATCGAACTAATTGGAACGCAACGTTTTGACTCACACGGGCAACTGGGTATGCCACACGGCCGTGTGGCCCTGCCCGTGTGAGTCGGGAATTCCTGGTTTTAACCCAATTCCGGGCTGCAAGAGAGAGAATCGGACTTTTTGAGCAAAAACAGAGCCCTAGAGAGAGAAAGGACGAAGAACACATCCTAGAAGCCATCTTGGAGCTGGGTTTCATCAAATCAAGCTTGGAGATCGTCATAGGAGTGGAAATCATCATCCCAGAGCAGATTTTCCCATAATTATGAGTATGACTGCTTTGTATCTTGTTTTCCTCTCTCTCTCTCTCTATGGAGTAGAACCCCTCTCTCACTTGGGGATGAAGAACCCTAATTCTATGTGTTAGGGATTGATTGTAATGACTTGGTATGATATTATTGTTTGATTTTAATCGAATGATGCATGTTTATTGAGTCAATTGAAGTCTGATCAACTTTTCCTGATTCCTGCTGCAGTCTGAGATAGATAGAATCTGATTAGGTTGCTAGAGTCTCATCATTCGATAGTATGAGATTGGCTATACGAGAGTTAGCCAGTTGACTGCTTTGTACTGGAATCCAATTCCAGTAGTGGAGTTCTGTTCTTACTGCTTCAGCTTTCTATCCCGGTGAAGACTAGTCGTCTGCCGGGTAGTTAGACTGAGAGGGCTTGGTCAGCTTAAGAGATTCCAAGCTACTGTTGGATCTTCCGCAGTCTAATCAACAGTAAATCAACCCAGGAAAATACAATTGAAACCTAACTAAGGAGCTAGGGGGATTCATTCCCGAGTGACTCTTACCTGCTTGAGAAAACCGAATAATTTCCTGCTTTATTTCTGCTTTTGCTTTTAAACAACAATCACTTACTTTAGTTGGCTAGATAACAGAGAATCACTGAGTAAGCAGTAGATCTAGACCCCGGGTTGATAATATAACTTGCATGTTACTGCATTCCCGGTCTGCGATTACACTTGGTCGCAGATTGGTGTTGTGTTTTGGCGTGTCATATCACATGTAGCTATACAACAAGAAAATTACAAAATTAAATACTAATTTTGAGGAAATCATTAGAACAAACAAAAGTTATCAAAAAATATATGTCGTACCTTATAACAAGAGGTCTTCATCGTCTTCTTCCTCAAAAGAACTATCATCTTAATCTTCACTATTGTCACTATCATTATTGCTACCAATACCATTAGAATCATTATGAACCATAAAATCATATTGGGGAGATTCTCTCTCCCAACTAATCAGTTCATCATCTTCAGAACCTCGAATATGATGGAGTTCAGACATCCCATGTTGAAAAGCATCTTCCTGATCATATGAAAATTCATTGACGAATTGATTTGCTGAAATACAGTCAAAAGAGCTACAAGATTGACCTTTCAGAATAAGAAGCCAGTTAGGATTCAACCCATCTTCAAAATAAAAATAAAAACTCTGCTCTACTTGAGATGCAAGTACAAATGGCTCATTAGTCGATAGTTTGCATGATGAATTCACACTAACAAACCCATGTTTGTCCATCTTGACTCCCCTTCCAATGTTGACAACATCCCACCAATCACATTTGAACAATACAATCATGTTCCCGCCTAAATATTGGACCTCAATCATTTCTATAATAACTCCATAATAATCCATGATTGTTGATTCTGAAACTCCTTTAAGCAAAACACCAGTATTCTGTTTGACTCTTTTTTCCCCTAGCTCTTCAGTATGAAACCTGAAACCATTTATGTCATATCCACTGAACCTTTCAACACCATAGAGAGGACCCTGAGCTAGAGAAATTAATTCTTTTCTTGTCGGCTCATCCTTGTCTTTGCATAATTCTGATGCCTATATTTAATTAAAAGATTTATGTTAATTATAAAATAAACCATGTATAACAACCATGTTAGATCACTTACTTTCATCGTTGCAAATATAGGTACTTTCATTTTAGTCATAGTGAATTATTTTGATATTGTCTCTTTGCACAGAACATACAAGTCCCTTGTCCTTTTCTTGTAAATGATTAAATTATGAAGTAAAATCTTTGACTAATTTAATTTTTGTGCAGTCTCAATTTGATCAGTTAAAAAAACAAAGAGTTGAGGGAAATATATCCATGGATGATGAATAAATGTTTGAGAATGTCCTTGGACCTCAAAAGAATGGTTATTCCCTAAAAAAAAAGGTTATGTGCGTGCTTATGGTCCTGGAAAAGGGGTAACATAATTTTTAGGAGTGAAACCCACAAAAGCAGAACTTACAAAGCAAGTGGAAGCGGCTCGGAAGGAAGCTAGTGAACAAGTAGAAGAAGCTAAAAGGGAAGCTAATCAAAGAGATGATCAAATTACAAAAGATTTTCAAGAGCAAATGGCAGAAATGAACAAAAAAATGTTAAGAAAAAATTCAGATGTTGCTAGCGGATAGGAGAGTACCTTTAAGGGAGAAGTCTGATATTTGAAATGATGAGGTATGTCATTCAAAAATAATTTTAATGTTTGATTTATATGGTCGATATTCATATAAAATCACTCTACTTTTGATATGTTTCTCATGTTCATGTTTAATATGCTTTTTTTTCATGTTACTGGGAGTAAACAATTAGTCATTGATCAAGGATTTAGAGAGTTATTTACTTTTTCAATATTGTGACATCTTTTGTTTTCTTTGTAACAACTGCTACTGTTCGGCTGAAATGGAATTGCATTTTTATATATTATGTTCCTTTAATTTTATTATTATTATTCTAATAATAAATTAAGTGAGTAGCTACATTAATAGTAGGATATGTAGTTATTATGTTAAATAAATTATACTATAGCCACATCTACGTTTCATTGTAACTATGAGTGTATGGATTTGAAGCTAGAAATATAGCTTTTGCTACCATTAGTTCTCTAGAAAATAATAGAACGAAGCTAAATTTAATGAGGTATCACTAAGTTTTATTGTTTAGCTATGAAGAATTCTATAGCAGAAGCATATTTCTTGCCACGAAAATCTTAATTAAAGCTAAATAATTTTTTTATGCCATGTTTATTTGTGTGGTAGCAAAAGCTCAAAAGATATAGCTATAATGAATTTTGTAACAAAAAATATATAAATCTAGCCATGAATAGTTTATTGAAAGTTGTATGGCAAACTAACCGCCACAATTCTTTTGGTAGCAAGAACTGAATTGCTTTAGCTACAAAATGAATCATGGCAAATTTATTGTTGATTTAGCCATGAATACTTTATTAGTTACAAAATATGTCATAGCAAGAATTATGATTATTTAGTTTCAAAGCAAGGGAGTGCATGGCAAAATAGTAGATATAGCCATACATTATGTGTTGTGAAGCTAAATCAGTTTATGTTTTTGCTATAATATATTTTGCTTAAAGCTACAAGTGTTAGTTATTAGCAAGTAAGAAAATGTGTAGCTAACTTTTAGTTGCGCCATGTGGCGCAACGAGAGCTACAAATGAATTTTTTGTAGCTACATAATTTTGCCACAAAATATTTATCATTTAGCCACAAAAACTTTCCCAGCTACATGTGCAGATTGTTGTAGTGAGTGATTTGTAATCTTAGTGTACTTTATTTTAATCAGGACCTACAAAAGTACATGTATCCTGACCATCTAAGAGCATAATGATGCTGCACACTAGATTCTTCTACTTGCAATTCAAGATCACCTTGTCACCTTTTATTAACCCTCTAGAATATCAGTCTCACATTGGAGATCAAATCATTTTTTTTTGTGTAGGAAGACAAACGCTAAAAGCGCCTTGGATCATATATTAATAAAATGAGATTGGGAAATTCTCATAACATCATAGTTTAACCATCTACAAAGGTCATAACTACTCACATCAACATGATGTGTTCCAAAAGAAAGGTTGTGGCCTAAACTAGCAAGAAAATCAGCGCTGCGATTTCCTTCTCTATACACATGAGAGACAAAGATGTCCCAGTCACGATCCAAAAGGTGACTGACAGTTTTAGCCAAGATACCATGCCTATGATCATCATCAGTACGGTTCTTAATAATGACAATTGTAGTAGAGGAGTCTAGGTTGAGCTGCACTTTTCGATATCCCTTCTCCCAAGCTATCTGCAGTCCCATAATTTCTCCTTTGAGCTCTGCAGCAGTGATCGAACAGTTGCCCAGTTTGCAAGCAAAGGCAGCACTACATCTTCCCAAGTTATCCCGAATGAGCCCTCTTGCTGTTGCAACTCCTGAGGGAGAGAGGACAACCCGTCAGTTGGATCTGTACCAATCCCTCAGGTAGAGGCCTCCAACCGATCTGTTCCTCTCTTTTCTCCACACGGGGGTTGAAAATTCTTTCCACATTCTGTAGAGCCATTTTGTAGATATTAAACCAAGCTTCGATTCTGCATATGAGAGATTTTTCCACGAAATTCTTGCCATCCATACACTCTTCATTTATTTGCTTCCAAAGATGCCAAACGATCAATCCAAAAGCAACACCATGCACCATGTGTATCATCCTTCAGGTTACTTAACAACCATTCCTTGAACGGTAGGTTCCTCTCCTTGTTGGTGACTTTAGCTTTGAATCTTTCCCAGATTACTGTTGTTTTGTTGCAGTGACGGAGAATGTGTTTTGTGGTTTCCTCAACGTCTTTACAGTGGCTGTAGTTGCCATCAATGGCAATCTTCCTCTTGACTCGTTCCTAATTTGTGCGCAACCTATCATGCATCACAAGAAAATGGAAACGCTTGGTTCAGCTAGGCCCTTTCAATTTCCAGAGGTTTTTCTATATTGTTTCTTATGTTAAGTCCAGTTGATCTGCTGCAAGTTTGTAAGCATATTTCAACCTGAAACTTTCATCCCTTTCCAACCCCCAGATGCATTTGTCATCTCTCATATTGGTTTTTGGGGGTTCTATGCCAGCAATCAGAGAGATGATACTGGGAGGAAGAAAGTCCTGGAGCTTCTGCCAGTTCCACTCTCCATAACCTGCACCTAAAGATCAGAGCTATAGTTCAGAATTTTCCAGGCAAGGCTTGATCATGAAAGCCATGTACAAACTTCTAGCAGTTCTAAGTCCTAGCCCCCCTTGGTTTTTAGGTCTGCAAACCTTCTCCCAAGAGACCAGATGGAATTTTTCTTTTCCTCATTAGATCCCCAGACAAACCATCTTATCTTTTTATCAATCAAATCACAAGTTGGAATGGCATTGAGCACAGAGAGAGCTAGTGTTACTCTTCCTGCTAAGGAGAGGGTTCTAGCTTTCCAGGAGGTGATTTTCTGGTCAATCTTATCAATGATGGCATTGAGCATCATGGTCTGCATAACATAAGTTGGAATGGCATTGAGCACAGAGAGAGCTAGTGTTACTCTTCCTGCTAAGGAGAGGGTTCTAGCTTTCCAGGAGGTGATTTTCTGGTCAATCTTATCAATGATATACCTATAGGTCTTTCTAATAATCCTACCATGGATGACAGGAACACCAAGGTATCTACCTAGGTCCAGGGTCGACTGAATGCCAAGTTTTTCGCAAATGTTCTTCCCATCCCTATCTCTAGTATTTTTAGAAAAGAGGATTCTATACTTATCCTTGCTTACAAGCTCCCCAGAGGCATTGCAGAAGCGATCAACACACGTGTTAATGACTTCTGCTTGCTTCAAGGAGGCCTCAACAAACAGGACAAGATCGTTCACGAAGAATAAGTGGGAGAGGGGAGGCCCTCCAGGGGAGAGCCTCATCGGACACCACCTATTTTCACTAACTTCTTCTAGAATACAATGCCCTAACCTTTCAACACAAAGAGTAAAAAGATATGGGAAAGGGGACATCCCTGTCTGAGTCCTCTGCTCGACTTGAAACTCTTGGTTTCTCCTCCTTCCCACAGAACTTGCATCTCCATTGTGGTGACACATTTCACGATGGAGATCAAATCATTGACAACAAGTAAAGCCACTGCTTTTCATTCTCTATCATGCTATAAAGAGGGAATAGGTTGTGAGCATATGAGAAGAATGTAATTTTAGAGAGTCTATCTATGGGACTAAAATGTCAAATCGCAAACCAAATAAATTGTTTCAACAATTCAAGCTTTGTACCAAACCTTTCTTCCAATTCTATGAAGCACTGTTACAAGGTCAGCCAGAGCATTGGAATCTTCCAATATATAATGTTTACTCTTTTTTTACATGATATTATATGAAAGAATATGAAAAATACCTACAATAATTAAGAGAAAAGATGGGCAATCAGTTTTGTATTTGGTGTTGTGATTCATGATTAGTCTACCCCTCTTTTGAGAAATAGCGAACTAAATGTATATTTTGTCACAAAATCAATGCACAACACTCAATATCAAGTCTTTCCTATCGCCCCATTAATGAAACAAAGAGTTAGAGAAAATCATAAGAAATTTTTTTAATTGAATAATTGTGAGAGAATTGAAAAAAGAGAGACCAATATTAGCATCTTGTGTTAGTTTTGATTTGTGTTCTACATTTGAGCTATACACTCTGAAAATAAGTTAGGTTGATTCAAGATAGGTTTTTGCAATTTTTGTAGCCCTATTGAAGTTAAAGACAAAAATCATATTCTCGAGAGTTAGACATCCAGGTATGGTACTAACTCAACCATACGTATCAAGTATTCTAGAAATGAAGGGACAAAATCGTACATAAATGCAGACGACATCACTGTTGTGGAAATTGTTCACGTATACCATATATTTTGCAACACAAGTCGCATATAGGAATCAAATTGAACAAAACATTTAGAAGAAGAAAACACGACTCATGCATAAACCCCGTTCGAGCCAATAGAATTCACTATTTCTCCTTAAGGAATTTAGTTCCCCTCTACTGTAACCAAGGTTAATGGAACTATTCCTCCCGGGATAGAACGGACGTACCTTTTCTGGCGTACCGGTACTTGAAACCCCAGAAACCATCGAACGCAACGAACAGCGAAAAGTCACACGACTCTGTTTTCTTTTATGTGTTTGTAGAGAGGAAAAAAATGAAATTAATAAGAAAAACTATTTTCTTTCTTTCGTCCGAAAATCTCTTGAAAATTCATATCCGAAAATAGAGGGGGATGGTGCTATTTATAGAAAATGAAGAGGTGTATGTGAAGGGATGTGAACCTTCGGGTAGGTGGTTACACCCCAACCAACACATTGGTTCATTTCAAAATTATGAACCATTGCATTGGTTCGCCCATGATAGTTGGACCGGTTGGTTCACTCCAACTGCCACATCGGTTCGGTTCAAATCAATTTGGTCTGGTTGGTTACACAAACCAATTTGACCAATTACCAAAAGATTTAATCAAATCAATTGACCGAATCCAAGGCATCCTTCCCATATATAACCAATATGGTATTTCAAGAGTTTCTCATTACTCATTCCCCTTTCAATTCCATTCACACCATTAAAAAAATCCCAACAATCACCACATCAGCTCGCTCGTAAGTTCTAGAGAGACCGTTACCAACCCGCTAAGGGCATCCATATTGGTTTTGTATTTCCAATTGCACAATGACATGATGTGAGTTTATGCTATTACAAAACCAATTAAACTAATGGGGCCAGCATTGCATATTTGTAATCTTCACACGCAATTGTATATGAAAGCCAAAGTGACAAAAATGTGAGATTCTATTTTTCTTTCCTTTTTTTTTCTTTTTTGCCATAAGTTTTATTATTATAAATGGATGAAAATAGCACCCTATCCTTCATTCACAACCAAGTAGAATTCAGAGAGCCCCTTGTAAATCATACACAATTTAATAACATAACCAAGGATTAGTTAGTGAAACAAAATGAAAATCAAGAGGTAGAGAGTGCCCCCGAATAGCTAGATTGTACACACACTTATTAGGCTCTATATAAATATGGGAGATTATAAGTTCTCAGACTCTATCTAATTGGTCCTGTAAACAATGTATTATTATTGCATGTTGTGATCGCTCATCCATGCTCTGAAGCAACTAAATAACACATCTCAAGTTGAACTTTGGTCCGTTTGTGTCGCATGTCCCATCAAACTGAAGGCCTTTCAAGCTTCTCTCAACTCTCTTTGTGTAATAGAAAAGATACGTACCAAAGTTCATTAAAAATGTTGTCAAACAACGCACTATATGACCTCGTATCAGGGCCTGTTAGGATATGACTTGAATTTGATTTGGGTTTGTTTTGTTTTTTGGCCTATTTTGTTTGGGCTTGTGTTTGGGCTTTGTTTGACATTTTCCTTGTATGTTTGGGAAAATGTGTTTGGCTTTCTGTTTGGGATTAAGAGAAGAGTTCTATAAATACTCTTCATCACCCTAGTCTGTAATAAGGTCAGTCAGGTTAGTTTGTTTGGTTTGTCCGTTTGGAATTTGGTTTGTAACCTGTACTCTCCTCAAATCAGTTAAATTTGTCCCCCCTGCCCGTGGATTAGCTAGCACACATTGTGTTAGTGAACCACGTTAAATTTGTGTTCGTTCGTGTTGGTTTGGATTGTCGTTTGCACGCTTCTGTTCTGACAAGTGGTATCAGAGCTTGGTCGATCGGCTGGGCAATTGGCTAGGGATTTTGGTGACTGCTGCGGTATCAGGAGAGAGTTGCATCGTTTGGTTTGTCGAGAAGAAAATTTGGAATTTGCGGCAGAGAGCTAGTTGGCGGATCAATTGGAATTTGGAAGCAATTACTTGAATTTATTGTGTTCGGTAATAGCTTGTGGTTTGGGGAGAATTCTGTTTGTTGCCCATGGTGGTGATCAGGGTTTTCGATCACCAAGGATGTTTGTTCAGGATTTAAAGATTGAGAAGTCGATTTGGAGTTGCAGGTTTGGAGTTGAAAGTAAATCTGATGTTGGTGTTATCGATGGAAATAACACCAAGTTGGTTATGCATGGCAAGTCCCAACATGGGTTGGACTTGCTGCATGTTTTGATTTGTTGATCGCCCTTAGGGGCATCTGGAGGCAGGGGAGATTCTTTTACAACTGATTTGGAGGAGTTTGGTACTTCTGGCAATTTTTATTGCATTTGAGTTTGGCGATATACATCGCATTTGAGTCTGGTGATATGGATCACATTTGGATACGTCTGGCAATTTTGATTGCATCTGAGTTTGGCGATTTGCATCGCGTTTGGTCTGGCGATATGGATCGCATTTGGATACGTCTGGCGATATGTATCGCGTCTGGGTACATCTGGCAACTTTGGTTGCGTTTGGTACATCTGGCAACTTAGGTTGCGTTTGGTACATCTGGTATTTGACAGAGAATTCAAGTCAAGGTGGAGATTGTTAGGATATGACTTGAATTTGATTTGGGTTTGTTTTGTGTTTGAGCCTATTTTGTTTGGGTTTGTGTTTGGGCTTTGTTTGACCTTTTCCTTGTATGTTTGGGAAAATGTGTTTGGCTTTCTGTTTGGGATTATGAGAAGAGTTCTATAAATACTCTTCATCACCCTAGTATGTAGTAAGGTCAGTCAGGTTAGTTTGTTTGGTTTGTCCGTTTGGAATTTGGTTTGTAACCTGCACTCTCCTCAAATCAGTGAAATTTGTCCCCCCTGCCCGTGGATTAGCTAGCACACATTGTGTTAGTGAACCACGTTAAATTTGTGTTCGTTCGTATTGGTTTGGATTGTCGTTTGCACGCTTCTGTTCTGACAGGGCCCATGTTGCTGCCTTGTCTGAGCTGGTATGAACTAAGTCGTCTAAGTTGAGAGTTATCCACTGAGAAAGAGGAAATTTCCATGATTCTCCACCTCTGTCCTAACAGGCGAATTCGACTTATGGATGAGCTCATCCTTCTCCATGGTGGTTCTCACTACAATTATCTAAAGTCTAGGTATGCTTTAGAAAGTCATCATTTGTTGTGATCTTGTATGTGAAGAATCTATCATTCGTGGTTTTCAAAAGAGACCAACATGTAACCCCGAACTCTAAACTAATGGTTGCTATCGAAGGTTTTATAGTTATTCAAACATAATATGTAATCACATATGTAATTGCAAGTGAATTGTATTAACGTAGACACAATGATATTAACATGAGATTGTATAAATTGTTTAGGTGACAATAATTTCAATATATGTACAATTGGTCTTGAAAACATTATCGTTTTTTTTTTAGAATCAAGAATTTCATTGAATTTCCCTCCTTTGTAGAGTTGAATAACAACAATGAAGTAGGACTCGGAATAAAACCACCTCTGAACTTTCCCTTGTTTTCAACCTTCCTAGTTCCTCGTCCATAGTAGGATATCCTTGGGAGAAAGATAACATCTTTCAGAATGCCCAACAACTAGAGGCCGCTTGCATTGGCATATTCCGAGTGTTGAAGTAAGAACTGAAAGTAATCGGTGGCTGATTCGATCATACACTTCCACTAACCTCTCACCTTCATTAATTTAATTCAATTCATCTATTTAAATATCCAACTAATCCAATCTCATTTTATTCAAATCCACTTAGATTGGTGGATTTATGGATTGGATTAATGGATCGTTGGCAAATACATTTTAGTACTTATATTTAATATATTTTACTATTTGGTACCTAAAATTTATTTTTATGCAAAAATTGTCATTGAAAAATAAGGTTTGCATTCCGAATGAGGAAGAGAATAAGGTTGCATTAGACTCTCGTTGGCCCCTCAATTGTCAACCTCTTCACCAAAGGAAACGTTCTGTTCCTTTCCGTGTCACCTGTTGCTTCAGAAGAATTGAAGGAAGACCAAAGGCGTGACAGGCTGACAGCATCTTCCCCAGCCTCTATTCGGAAAAAATCCCATAATACACTAATTATTAAAAAAAATTCCCAAAATACAATACTTATAAAATTATTTCCCAAAATACAGCAGTTTGGTTATCACCGCTGCAAACCAAGACAGTGAAAGCAATCACCGTTTTTTACCAAAACGGTGATAGCATAATCGCTTTGGACCAAAACAGTGATGCTATCACTGTCTTGGACAAAAGCGATGAACCCTTCACCGTTTTGGACCAAAACGGTGATTGCATCACTGTCTTGGTTAAAAGCGCTTTCTACCAAAACGGTGATGCAATCACCGTTTTGGTTTAAAACAGTGAAACTCGACCTTATCACCGCTGATGTGTAAAGCGATGATAATTGACACGTTTTACCGG